TCAAAGGAGAAAAAGGCGAAACTCTGCAGCCAGAAGGACAAGTGGGTGCCCCAGGGGATCCTGGGCTCCGAGGGCATCCTGGAAGAAAGGGCTTGGATGGAATTCCTGGAACTCCAGGAGTCAAAGGATTACCAGGACCTAAAGGCGAACTGGTTGGTATTCAGTAACTTTTTTCAAATTTCTCTTCCTATAAATTACATGCTCTAAAGTTAAGAGATGAGGTGACTTCCTTTCAAAAAATTGTTTGGCCACTCAGCACAGTTCAGCCTTCTAACTGCACAATGAGGCATCTTCAAATAAGCGGGCGTAACCTGAGCAAATATTTATAGTATTTTGACAAAATAAATAGGTAGCACTTAATAATTTTTTTAGCCCAAAGGAAATTCTACATTGATAATGATCTTGTGTCTTCTACCAGTTACAATTCCATATTTATATCAAATAAGTTTATAGAGAAGTTCGGAAAATGATTAATAGGAAAGTTTTAGTCAATATTTTTGGGGCAATGATCATTCTTTTAAGAAAAATAAATGTGTAAAATGACCGAATATTTAGGGATAGGGTTATCAAATAAAGAGAGCAAATGTTTTGTCATTTACATTATTTAAGCTTATGTAAATTCTCTCTCTTTTCATGGGATAGAATCTCTCACATGTTCATTCGAGAGATTCCTACCAGGATCTGTTTTAAAATGTCATGGAGTCAGAGGCTGAGAACCTCACAACGGATCTATGAGAAAGAAGTTTGCAAGGCATGCTGCCCAGCCTGGTGTACGAAATACCAGTTTCTCCCAGAGTTAATCAGTTTTATTCAATTTTCTCAAAACAGAGAAACCTGGCAAACCAATTTAAAGTTCACTTACAGCCTCAATATCAGAATATGAATTGTGACTCCCCAAGATGTAGATACGATAGCAGTCTTTCCTAGACCTTTTTGACTACAAAACACTTTTTGGCTGGGAGCAGCTAGCAGGACCAATATTTCACACTCTCCTTTGGCAAACTGCCAGGCTATCCCCCAGATGGTAGTTTGCTTATAGAGGGACAGAGTCTAGAATTCTTTAGGTTTAGTATTAATACAGTTCATATGATGCCCCCATTTACATCTCACTAATTTCTTTATTAGTTCTAGTAAAGATGTCCCAGAAAGTGAGAGAAAATCAAGGAGCTGATTTGAGTCTATGCCCTGTCGTTATTAAAAAGGACCACTTAGCCACCTTTTAATATTGAACAAAGAAAAATCCAGTCAAATTTATTATTTGGGGCCATTTTGGGGAAAAAGGGAAACTTTGATTATTTTGTCAAATTTAACTTTAAAATACACAACTCCTTTTCAAAGTTATATCCTATGAAATTTAAAAAACGATATTTTATAAGGAAAAATTAATACAGATAGAATATCTCCTTTGTAATGAAAATAGCTGGTGAAAACCAATCAAATAAAGTTTGCTGTACTTGTTTTATTTTAGAAATGTGCCATTAACATGAATGTCTCACCTCTAATGCCATTTAAACCATTGGCCGATTTGAACTAAGTTTTAGGGACTGTTATCATATGGGTGGCATCTCACCGTAGGACATGTGAAGTGGAACTCGAAAGTGTTTCAAGTGAACGAATGAAGTTTCAAATGAAATGCTGCTGAGTTCCAAAAGGCATAAAACGATAAAAATCATACAGTGCTCTTATTTCAGTAATAGTTTCCTTCACATGCCAACTGCTTTTTAATTCAAGATCTTCTCAATGATGACCTAAAGGTATTCATATACATAGTAGGATTAACCTGTGTAAGGAGATGCTGGAATGGAGCACTCTCCAAACATAACTCTATTGTCACAGGCCCTGAGTGGTGAGAAGGGGGCCCAGGGTCCTCCAGGGGATCCTGGCACCCCTGGGTCTCCAGGACCTGTAGGACCGGCTGGACCATCAGACTATGGACTACACGGAGAGCCTGGTCCAAAGGGCACCCAAGGAGTTCCTGGAGCCCCTGGACCACCTGGAGAAGCCGGTTGGTTAGTTTTCTTTCCAGTCCTGTTTTCCTTTGGAGTGGGTTGATGGTTCCTACAGCTAGTGAAGCTCTCTCAGGACTAATGAATGTATAGAAACTTGCTTCCAATATGTAGAATATGTCAACTCATAGACACTGGGAAAGGATATGTAGGATATGTTAAAGAAAATCCATTTTTTCCCCTTACTGAGGAATTCAGCTGGAATTGCCTAGGATAGTCTATATCTATTACTGATATAAATATATGGGGTGAGTGGAAGTCATTTATGATAAACAAAAAGGAGGCAAAAACCCATGAAATTGATCTTGAGAAGCCTCTTTGAGGACTCAAGACCCCAGTAATGTTATCACAAATTTGTCCTTTTTGATCCATAACCCAAAAGATGGTTTATAAATAAAACTTCAAAATATCTAAGACATACGAAGAAAAGTTGTCTGATAACAGTTTTAAAGTCCTGTTAACTTTGGGATCCACGTGTAAGGAACATAGTTGGATTCAGGAGGAATCCGATCCTCAATGTTTGTGGCAAAGAACATGGTGGAAGATGAGAATTGCATGTTACTGACAGTTTTAAACAAACAATGCCACCATGGTCATTTTTTACTTCTAAAATCACTTTAAAGGGTGAGACCCAATAAACCAGTGTTCTCCAAATCTTTTTATAATACCTCTCATCAGTAATAATTTTTGAGGGCACATCCCCAAAGTATTCATATATAATAAATTGTATGCATGCATTTCTGTCCACAGATGTACATAAACCTTATTTTATGATTATTTATATGTATTTTTTTTCTGCACCTTACTTCTGAGGCTGCTGTTCTATTCCAGGGATTGGCAAACTATGGCGGCCCAGTCCCAAATCCATTTATGTGTGGTCCACAAGCTAAGAATAGTTTTTATATTTTTAAATGATTGGGGAAAAAAACAAATAATATTTCTGACACATAAAAATTCTATGAAATTCAAGTTTGAGTGTGCATAAATAAAGTTTTATTGGCACACAGCACACATTCATTTACGTGTTGTTTCTGGCTGCTCTCATGCATGATGGCAGAGTTGAGTAGTTGTGACAGAGACCATCTGGACCACAAAGCCTAAATTATTTGCTATCTGGCCTTTAACAGAAAAAGTTTACTGATTCCTCCTCTAATCCACCTTTTAACTCTCTTCTGTTCTTTCTAAATGTGAATCTTTAGTGAAGGACTAAAATCATAAAATATTGTAAAATCATAAAATATTATATGACAAATATATTGTCATAAAATATATTATCATCAAATTTTTCCCATCATACTACTGTAAATCTATTTTTTCTATAATTATATGAATATATGGACAATACTAATAACTAACACATTTTTAACCTTGGCCATTGTGGTCAGAACATTATCCCAAATCTTTACCGGCTGGGTAGGCATGATTTCCCCAATGACACACGAGGAATTTATCAGAGAGGTTAAAAAATGTGCCCACCCTCACAGACCTTATAAATAGCAGGGCCAAGATTCAAGCACAGTTCAGCTTGTCGGGCCACATTTTCATGTTTTGTTCAATATACTGTTCTGCCCTCCTGTAAAAATTAGTCATCCAATAAATAAATATCCGACCAGTATTCATCAAGATGTAAGCTGAATTCCATATTATCAATTTTCTTTAGAATAGGGCCTCTTTCAATAGACCAGCACGTTGAGCTATTAATTAAAACAAGACTTAGACAATAGTAGATGCCTATAGATATTTGTTGACTGAATAAGAAACTTTCTATGGGCTGGTCATCTTTAAGCCATTTTTGAAGCCTGTGGCAGCAGAGACTATTTTTTATATTCCTTGGGATATGTTTGTAAACAGCTTATAATTATATTTTTTCCTTCTGAACAAAGAAAAGCTTCAATATGCACACCAGTCTTATGATCATAAATTTTCTTAAGGTCCTAAGGGAGAATTCAATGTTTTGACACCAGTCCCAGGCCCCCCAGGATTTCCAGGGCCCCCAGGCCGTGCTGGGCCCCGAGGCCCACCTGGTGAGTATCCCCTTTGTCCAGTCTGGTGCACAGCATCAGATGGCACCCTGACTCTCCTGGAAAAATATTGTCCCCGTTATAAGGAAAAAATACACTCATTGGCTCCTAAAGAGAGCACAAGCCAGAGTTCTGTCAGATAACAAGCCAACAGGCAGGGGACTTGCTGTTGTCCTTTGTGGTTATTCAAATTATTCCCATTCTGCTTCTGATTCCAAAGGAGAACTGATATAATTACTTAATTCGAATTCGAGAGCAAAACTATCTTCATGGATTTTTGGTGGAGGAACAAGCAATGTTTGCCAATGGTTAATCGTGATGGTTCCTACAGTGTCTTCATTTGAAAACTTAATTTCTTTGCCAATATGATCTAGAATTTAATTTTTCATGCATGGAGAAAGACTTATATAATTCAAGATATCTAGAATTTTTTTCAGGAATTAAATTATATTTTCAAAATTATTTGCAGCTCCTAATGATTAGTGCTTTGGTTAGGAGAAAGGGTTTACAGTTGGGGTTATGTTAAAATTATTTCTTAATTTTCAAAAAGGTCTAGGATGACACAGAAATTTAGACATTTTGTTTTAGGTCAAGATAAAGGAAAGTTGCTAATGTGGATGTATGTGTTTTTTTAAGGTATCCCTGGATCCATAGGAAAATGTGGTGATCCAGGTATTCCTGGGCCTGATGGTGAACCAGGAATTCCAGGAATTGGATTTCCTGGGCCTCCTGGACCTAAGGGTAAATTTCAAAATTTTTGAAAATAAGGTTCCTTGTGGATATTTAGAAAATGTAAATACATATAATGACTAACATAGAAGATAGCCATAATATCCTTTAAAATTATGTGTCCCAAGAGTGTTAAATGGGAAAAAATTTTACAATAATGTTAGGCAGCATTCACATTAATTTATGCAATCTCAACTCATTTACATCTTTTTAATGAATGGAAAAATATGGGAAGTAAACTCACCAAAATGTTTGTAGTGATTCTTCTTGATTGTGGGATTATGAGGAATTTTTTTCTTGACTTCTTAATAGATGTCTGCACTTTTTCCATTTACACATTTCTTCCCTTTATGCATTTCTTTAATAACAAAAAACAATTATTAAATCACAAAAAGCTGACTTCCTTCTATGCTCCAAAATAAATTACAGAAGTTATCTTCCTTTAGGAAAAAGTACTGCTTCCCATCGGAGGGAAAACATACCACAGAAATCCACATACTGAGGACTTAAATAATAACCTGAGGTTCCCCAGGGACAAATACATCAAAGTCATGTCCAGCATAACATAGCAGTAACCTCAGTCCCTGAGGGCTTGCATACAACTTCAGATTTTATGATAATTTCATGTTTTTTCCAACATTATTTAAAATATAATCCCTTTGTCAAAATATAATCCCTTTTATTGGTGCTTCATCTCTTGGATTAATATGTCAACAATGTTTATCATACATAAGTTCTGCCCAAATATGGGAATATTGATTTTAACTTCTGAGTATTTGAAATGGAAAACATAATCACATTTCTCATTTCCAAGAATGGCTTTGATGCCAAGTTCTTGCATTTCTTCCTAATGATCTCTGAAGTAATGTACTTCTCCTACTATAAATGCATCAGAGAGAAGTTACTTCATTACATTCAATGGCTGCTAGAGGACATTAGGAAGTAATTCTCCTGAGCAACCCCTGTTGAGAAAGGCTATCTTTCTGGGTTCTGGAAATGCTTTACATTTTGATCTGGGTCATGCTGGCATAGACATATATACGCATGTAAAAATCCAGTTGGCTGTATACTGTATGCAAAATATACTTCAAAAAAGTCAACCAAATGATCAACTAGTATTAATATTTAAAGAAATGTAGGGTGCTGTGGCTGGCCCAGTGATGTAGTGGTTAAGTTCACATGCTCCAATTCAGTGGCCCAGGGTTCACTGGTTCAGATCCTGGGCGTGAACCTACACGCCACTCATCAAGCCATGCTGTGGCAGCATCCCACAAACAAAATAGAGGAAGACTGGTACAGATGTTAGCTGAGTGACAATCTTCCACACACACACACACACACACACACACACAAAATTGTAGGGCGCTAACCGACAAAAATGGAGGTCATTTTTTTAAAAATTGGAAATCAATGTAATCAGATTTGCAACTGAATTTATTTTTAACTGCTAACTTAGCAGTTGGCTTTCTCATCATTCAAACTTTCATAAAAACATCTCTAGCTGCTTGCCTCATAAAAACATTAGATAAAATAAGAGAGAGACTGCTCAGACTAATCCTACAATCTTTATTATTTTTTCTCTGTAGGAGACCGAGGTTTTCCAGGAACAAAAGGATCACCAGGTTGCCCTGGAGAAATGGGAAAGCCAGGGTTACCCGGACAGCCAGGCCTCCCAGGAGCCAAGGTCTTGGAGAATTAAAATGCAGACTGATAAGGGGGAAAGGAGGAACAATTACAGTCGGCCAGTTAGGATGCTCCTGCCAGGCAGAACACTCTGTGCGCAGAAATTACCAATATATTTGTAAATGATGATACATTAAATATTTTTTTTAAGTTTCTCTGAACCTTCCCTCCTTTTTAGAAAAGAATATATAAGGTATTAGAAGACAAGTTTGTTTCTCTCTTTCTTCCTTAATCTTCAGAAACATTCAGAGTATTTAAAATGGGAGAACTCTAGAAAGAAATATAGACAGCTATGAAAAAACTATTAAAAGTAGAGACATCTAGACTGTTTACAGAAAATTCCACAGTCTTCTGAAAAAGAGGCTGGAGGCTCTGAAGAATTATTGAGCATAATTTTATAGAAAAGTCAGCAACTAGAGTTGAAAAGGCAAAGTTGATGGAATGGTGGTGACTCTGTGTAAAAGGGACTTAGAACCTCTGTAATGGAAATATTATTGTCAAGTAAGGAGCCCTACAGACCAGTCAGTAGTCAGTAAGGATTTGGAAGCATGATATAGTAAAACTAACATGATTTCTGTGCTATAGGGAGAACCAGGACCAGCCATGCCTGGGGAACCAGGAATACCAGGTTTTCCAGGAGAAAGAGGCATTTCTGGGGAAAATGGAGAAATTGGACACCCTGGACTTCCAGGTCTCCCTGGATTTCCAGGAACTGGAGGGCTTGATGGACCACGAGGTACAATAGCAAGTGTGATTACTTTTCTCCACTGTGAGCTTAGCTAAAATGCAGCAAATGGAATGTGGAGGTGCTCAAGCGTGAAGAATTCTTCTCAAACAAACTTCTTGCTCAATAAATAGAATCTGTGGGGCCTAATTATTTTTCCGTTAACATTGCTGCCCTACCTTTGTTCCTTCTTTCTTTCTTCCTTCCTTTCTTCTTTCCTTTTTAATGAGTGTTCTCCATATAAGACATATTAATGGTATTAAATATAGCTCTGGCTTAGGGGAAAAAGTTACAGGAGAATGATTGGGATAGCAATACTAGGATCTTAGGTTTTGGCATCTGAATATATTCTTGGGCTCTATTTTGCAGGGGATCCAGGGCAGTCTGGACCACCCGGAGAAAGAGGACTCCCAGGAAGGTGCACAGAGGGTCCCAGGGGAGCCCAAGGACTTCCAGGCTTAAATGGATTAAAAGGGCAACAAGGTAGGAGGGGGCCTTGTAACCAGTCACCAGGCAGGCAAGTGGTGACATGGGACTCCTACTCTGCACCTTGCTGCTTAACATGGGAACTGTCCAGCCAAAAGTCCTGACCACTGTTCAATGGGAAATGTTATTTCGGAAATATAAACCTTATTGTCATAGATTCATTGCAATGTGTACTACCTATAGAGGAAGAGACCTGAAATTAATATAATAAAATTGGTCTGTGTCTTTTATGCAAGAAAATATGAATACTGAAGATATATTTAGATGTGTATTTACATATATGTTTATATAAACTCTCAGGAAAAGCTTTACATTTAATATTTCCCTAAGTATTTTAAAGTGGTAAATTTATCCTGATTATTAAAATAGAGTGAACGTTTGCAAAGATATGTCTAACAAGCTATAAACTAAAATACATAGTTGATTGCTTTACAAGCAACATAAAAGAAACGGTATAAAAATAAATCTAAATTATGCAGGCTAGATGGTCCAGATCATGGGAAATTTTATCTTTTTGGCTCCTCTCAACCAGATCTGCGAACTACTTCTGGGAAAAATCCTTTAGAATGCAGCTAATGCCTGTGGGCTATCATACTGCTTAAATGTTCACAAACAAATTTTTGGCCAAGATGTTAATTGTTGTAGTGGTGCTAATATTGTTTCCAGAAGCATCTGGTGGCTTGCCTCCACGTGAGTGGCTCTGTGTGTATTCTGCAGGTGAAAGACTGAGCCACAGTCATAAAGTGCAGTCCCAGGAAGTGCCTGCAGGACTAGAAAATAAATCTAAATTCTACACTTTTATTACTGCATGAATCATTGAAACAGAGAATGTTAAAGCCAGAAGGGATCTTAGAAATTTTACAGAAGGGGACCTAAATCAATCAATCAGATAAGTGTGTGGTTTGCCCAAAAATCACAGAGCTAAATATTTACAGTCATAAAATATTTCTGGAGTTGGTGGGGAAAGCACTTGTGTGTTCATTCATTCATTCATTTATTCATATATAGGCAGAAGAGGCGAAACAGGGCCAAAGGGAGACCCAGGTATTCCAGGTTTGGATAGGTCAGGATTTCCTGGAGAACCTGGACCACCAGGAATACCAGGTCATCGAGGTGTGACGGGACCACCTGGTCAAAAAGGATATCCAGGAAATCCAGGATTTTTAGGGCCACCAGGTATCCTTTTTTGTGGTTTTATTTTTTTTCTTCTCTCTTCTTCCACATTTTCCTTTTAAAGTGGCTATTTAAACTAGAGATAGGCATAGGCTTTTGACTCTATGCCTCTCTTTCAGTTAGTATGTTTCTTCTTCTGAATTATTTGTAAGGAGACAAACCGCTGGGACATGGTGGAGGTAGGATGATAACATTTCACAATTACCAAGGATATGACTATTTTTGCTGTGTAATCCTTTTTATATATTACTCCTAAAATATATTTGCTAGTATTTTGTTGAGAATTTTTACATCCATATTCATAAGGGATACTTACTGGTCTGTCGCTTTCTTTTCTTACGATGTTTTTATCTGGTTTTGGTATCAAGGTAATGCTGGCCTTATAGAACAAGACAACAAGACAGGAAGTGTTTCCTCCTCTTGTATTTTCTGGAACAGTTTGTGGAGAATCGATGTTCTTTTTTTCTTTTTTGTTGGGAGAGATTTGCCCTGAGCTAACATCTGTTGCTAATCTTCCTCTCTCTCTTTTTTCCTGTTCCTCCCCAAAGCCCCAGTACATAGTTGCATACTCTAGTTGTAAGTCCTTCTACTTCTATGTGAGACACCAACACAGCATGGCTACTGACAGATGAGTGGTGTGGTTCTGTGCCCAGGAACCAAACCTGGGCCACCAAAGCAGAGCACACCAAACTTCAACCACTAGGCCATCAGGACTGGCTCGTGAATTGATATTCTTTAAACATTTGTTAGTATTCACCAGTGAAATCAGCTGGGTCTGGACTTTTCTTTATGGGAAGTTTTTAAATTAATAATTCAATCTCTTCACTGGTCATAGGTCAGTTCAGATTTTCTATTTCTTCTTGAGTCAGTTTTGGTAATCTGTGCTTCTCTAGGAATTTGTCCATTTTGTCTAAGTTATCTAATTTGCTGGCAAATAGTTCTTTTTATTTCATCATTATTTTTCTAGTTTATATGTTTAGGGGAAAATATTCCAATTGTCCCCTCATGACCTAAAGACCTCACTGATCTCTCCTCCAGAGAGGAGCCCAGAATAACAACTTAATCTGCAAATTATCCTTTCATTCATATCACTGAGCTACTATCATGTGCCAGCACTGTTCCAGGCCCTGGAGACACATCAGTGGACAAGACTCCACCTCCGACAGTGGGGGAGACAATAACAAATACATTTAGGAACTAAGTTCAACTAGAGACAAGTGCTATGAAGAAAATAAAGCAAGGGAACATAACAGAAAGCTATTGATCAGGACTTGGGAGGAGGGAATGCTCTA